CATGAAGCAAAGCCTCATCAGCACTCTGGATAAGCAACTTGGGTTTTGTTTTCCACAAGGGCTGCTACATTTAAAAAGTCTCTTGCCCTCACCCCCTTTGTCATGGATCTCTTGGAAGTGGTGACTTTAGATACTTACCTACAGACTTCAGAATACCTTCCACTCTCACAGCATTCACTACTGTCTTGCTGTGACACAAATCAAGGGTGGATGCCACACATTTTGTCTCTGAAACACTGCCCCCATCCCAAGAATGGCTCCCATGTCCTTTGAAGCTAGCTGTGATTCAAAACTGCACTGCCAGTCACTTGCTGGTTATCCCTGACCAGATCCGAAAGAGGAAAGGGGACAGGGTCTTAACTCACCACTGAAGTCAACGCAGGACTTTTGGCCTGTGAACTCAAAGTAGAGGTCTGCATGTCTCTACTAGTGAATCCTCCCCAGCAAAGGCTCCAGACATACCTGCTTGGCGACTGGAGAAGGCAAAGACCATGATATCATCAAAGCTCCAGGTGTAGTCCTGGTGTGGGGGGTAGAACATCAGCTTGGTGGAGGCCTCTTTCCTCAAGTCAATGAGGAACGTGGAATGAATCATCGGGACAGCAAAACAGCCTGTCCTTTTCCATTCCCGAATCAGGGGATAATCCAAGGTCCTTTTGTAATAGCCCTGCAATCACAATGAGGGGGCTGCTTGTTACAAGAGATTTCTGTTTCATAGATGCTCCTTAGAAAACCTTAGCCCTCCCCAGCAGAGATGGATCAGTGCCCAATTCTCAGATTTTTAAGTGTCTCCCATTTGGAAAGGGCTCAGCCAAGTATTTAGAAACAATCTCCATCCCAAAAGTTAAATCTTGACCTTCTCTCTCCTTTTTAGCAGCTATTGGAAATCCAAGCCTTTCCATTGCAAAATTCCCTTGCAATAGACTTCAAACCTCAGACTGTTTTCTCCTGACTCTTAAAAACCTTTTTTGCACATAGATTCTCAGGTCTGATCCTGGAAGCTGCTAAGCACCTGTGACATCCTCCACGTTCTTCAGGCACAAAGGACATTCAGCGTCTCACAGAATAGGACCTGCAAATTATTTCTGACCATGACTTTAAAAAAAAAAAAATTTGCTTCACTGCAACAAAGGCAACATCTCAGTCTCCATCAGCTGTGTAAGAATGCCTGCTTCCTCCCTCCCAGGGCAAGCAGGTTTAATACTCGCTCCTGAGCTCTCCCCACAGAGTCTGTCAGGGGGAGGCACTTCAGTCAACTCATTTCTCTGTAACCATGAGCTTTGCTAGCCTTCCAGCACTGTGGGTGCAACACCCACATTGTACGGCTCGCAGGTCATTTTGCAGGTGCAATATGTCTAAAGCTATCAGATTTGGAAATAAATACACTGAATTCCTCCAGAAAGAAAATCCTAATGCACCAATTAGACATCCGGACAAAGCTGACAGTTGACTCCAGAGCAGATTCTGGTCTTTACAGAAATGATGAGTCACTAAAATAAGTTAAAGTTACTTTTATGTTATATTTTCCGTGAGCATCCTAGCAACGGCTGAGCACATCACTGCAGAACCACTTTACCCTGGTTTTGTGTAGAAGCATGGTGTAGTGCATTTGTCTGTTTACATATCTGTCGATCCTCCCCTCTGCCCTTCAGATATCTAGTCCTCACAGTATGGTCACATATCTCAAACACAGCCGGTCTGATTTTCATGAAAAGGAATAAGTGGGTAGAGACCTTACTAGCATTCCCACTGAAGGAAGGGTTAAGACATTCAACCTTTAACAGACTTCTGAGAACGCCCACAGGTGGAAGATGCTGGAAACTAATCTCTCCTCCTCCTGTCACTCACTATGAGGTTTTGGGGCTTTTCACTGCTCATAAATCATGTGCAGTCAAGAAAGACTCCAACTTGTCAGCACTGTTGCCGTGCTCTCCTAAGGATAGCTTCATGACAACTAAATGTCAAGCTGTCTGGAGCTGGGTTTGGCTTGCTGTTGCTCAGTGCCGGAGGCTGTGTTTCAGGGCGTGCTCCAGCTGTTACTCCCTCCCCAAGTCCCCAGGGAGAGCAATGCTGAGAGCATGAAGCTGTGGGACTGCGAGCACAGAAACAAGAAGCGGCAACTAAGAGAAAAAAAAAATAAAGTGGGAACTTTCCTATTTGTCTGAGCAGCTTTTTTCACCAAATTCTGCAAGATGCATTTGCTACTAGGTTTTTCCCTCTCCTTTTCTCAGCTAATACTGGTAATGATGGAAACTTACTACTGGAAAGGTAACACTAGGGGCCAGGGCAGAGGCTGGTGCACACAGGCAGAGATCTGCTTCAGCCTGTGGAGCAATGCTGATTTACATCAGTGGAAAACCTGGCTGTCTCAGGACTTAACCTTAAAAACTTAAAGGACAATGCCTTCGCTATGAAGTTTGTATCTCCATTTTAAAACAAAAACTGAAACAAGTAAACACACACACACCCCTTTTCTTATCTATGTATTTACTTCCCAAGAATTTGGAAAGTTCAAGACCTTTTCCTGCTGTTTTTATTCAATTAGTTAGCCTGAACTGTGGAACTCCTTGCCATAAGATGGCGTGGGTGCCAAAAAAACCCCACATTCAGACAGTGATTTCTGTAAAAGAAAAAAAATCACTGAGAGCTTTAAAGTCAAAGACCTTCCTCAAGAAATCATAGAGAAAGAGATTGCCAGAGCATAGAAAAATATTTTGAGGAAGTATCATTCATTTACATGTTTGCCATGTTCTTATACTATTCCCTAGGCATCTACTAGGAACCGCTGCTATCAGATAGACCTTTGGTCTGACCCAGTACAGCTGTTATGTTTTCACCCTGCCTGTGGTCCCTCCTTGTGTCCTTGGTAACACTGGGAAGGAAGAATGTTTTACACGAGGTAAATAGAAGAAAGGGGAAACTGAGTTTGTTCTTTGTTTCACTTCAGCAATAATGACAACAATCAGTATCTGGTTAGCTCTCTGGAATAAAGCAAGAGGGTAGGGAAGGGCAGGACTGTGGAGGCTCTCTAAAGTACTCCTATTCACATGCCCCAGGGAAGCTCAAAGATGTATGCGCAGCTCAGGCTTAAACACATTTGTCTATGCAGTAGGGCAAGCTTGTCTTTATGAAAAAGGAAACACAAGACTCAGGCATGGAAGTAAAAAGAAAATCCTGAAGCTTTCCAGGGCCAATGTGGGCAAAAAGGGAAAATTTTCAAGAGAACAAAAAAACCTCTTGCTATTCTAGGAGACATGCAGCTTAGGATGCTGCCTCCTCAAAGGATGACAAAACACATGCCAGCAGCAGACTGGAGAACAGGTCAAAAAGCTGATCTCATTATTGAGTCTTACCTGGGAGAAAAAAAAGCATTAACTACAGTACCCATTTCAGCTTGAACGTCTTGGAAAGCCCATCTAGAGCTTAGTCAAGAACATTTCAAAGGAAAAGAGTGAAGAACGGCAAAAAATTACTGTGACAATAGATCTGCCCTTCTATATATTTGATTCTTTTACCAAAATCCTTTTACGGACAAGGTGATTGTACTGGGTTTGGCTGGGATGCAGTTAATTTTCTTCATAGCAGCTCGTACGGTGCTGTGTTTTAGACTGGTGACCAAAACAGTGCTGGTAACACACCGATGTTTTAGCTGCTGCTGAACAGTGCTTGCACAGCATCAAGGCCTTCTCTGTTTCTCACTCTGCCCCCCACAGCAAGTAGGCTGCGGGTGGGCAAGAGGTTGGGAGGTGACACAGCAAAGTGATTTTCCATACCACGTAACATCATGCTCAGCGATAACGGGGCGGGGGGGAGTTTTTCCAAAGTAGCCAGTGCTCAGGGAATGGCTGGGCATCAGTCTCCTGGTGGTGAGTGACTGTTTTTGCATCACTTGCCTGTCTGGGTGGCTTTTTCCCCTTCACTTATTAAACTGCCTTTATCTCTTTTTAAGGTCGTTACACAAACATATGGAACCACCTCAAATAAATTCTGGTGTGATTGTGTGTATATCAGTATCTTTTATGCAGTTAGTGGGACTGTATCACTTCCCCTAAGCCAAGCAAGCTCACTTCCTCTAGATTAAGCTTTTTCAAGTGAGGAATCTCAGATCAGGAAGCAAGTTTCAGTTATGTGCCTGCACACCAAATGCAAAAGATATGTATTGGTTTTTGCTCATACCTACCAAAGCCTGAAAAACATTTATAGACCGCAATGTCCTCTCTACCCTTATTCCCAGTTTCCGTATAAATGTACGGTCCTTTCCCAAAGATACCCGCCCAAGATTTGGGATGCTACCGCTGAGAGAAGAGGAAGCTTAGATGACTGCATGACACCACTATCCTCACTACATCCCAACATCACCTCTGCATGCCTCAGAGCTACAGCAGCTTCTTTTCAGAAAAAGGACACTACAAAAGCAGATGGGAAAGCCCATAGAACAGAAACGATGCCCACTGCTTCACAGACACAAGGCAGGAGGCCTTTGAAACTATAGCTTGCACAGTCACCCAGCACCGTTCATGCGGTCACTTGCCTGCGGGGTGATGCCACACCAGAAGTTAGAGTAGAGAGAGCGAGACTCGAGCATTGGTGCCACCAACGTCTTGTTTTCTGCTATCATCAGGTTCAGGGTTTGTGGGTTGGTCAGTAAATTATCTGCATCAATAAACTAGAGAAGGAAGAGGGGAAGAGAAAAAGAAATTTGTTATTAGATGAAACAACATGCTTCCCCTGATGCTTTCTGGGGAACGAGGCAGCCAGAGGCATGAGGTTGGCAAAAAAAACAAAAAGCACTGAGCTAGTCATTTTGATACTGTAGGGTACAACACTGTTATAGGTAAACCCAGTGGTGGCTGCCCCTACGACAAAGCTATGAGATGGGAAGAGATGCGGAGCTTCCCTCTGACTCCACAGAACATCACTCCAGCACAGGGGTAAGGGAGCTGTGAGGGAAAATAACATCGCTGAAAATTCGGGGCAGGTTTATTCTGTGAAGGGGATCAAGAAGAATTCTTAAAAACTGGCCTCACCCCCTCACCTTGTTCAGAGGCTGTGGGAACACCAGCATTAACTGCTGCTGTAGTGACCAAAGGCACACATCTTTCCACAACTGTTCTGCTGAACTATTTCCCTCACATTTCATCAACAACAGGTGGGGTTTCAATCTGTGGGACCCTTGCAGGTACCTACCCATCACCAGGACTATACTCAGTCCTGACCCCTGTGAAAAGAGCCTTGGGCTTACCCAGGGACTTATCCCCCTACCTGCAAAGTCTCTCGCTCATCAGACCAAGAAATGACACACAGCATCTCACTGCAGAGAGCTTTGTCTTTCAACGGAGAAGAAACTTTTTGACAGCCTCAAGCATCAGAGTGACTACCTGAAAAGTTTTTTCCTGAGGACAGTTAATAAATCAAACCTTGTATTTACCAGGATGTAGTCTGACCACTTCTCTCGTGCAGCGCGCAGGGCAGCCTGTCGGAGTTTCATCACATGAGTGAATCGGGAGCTTGGCCAATGTTTTGGCCCAATTTCTTCTGGGTAAGACCTAGCAAAGAAAAAAAGAAAGTGACTGCAACCCATGTCTGGGCCCTATTACACTAGTCAAAAAAAAGAGAGTTCCCTTGCTGCCTCCTTTCCGAAAGAAAAACAGTGTTAGACTCACCTCAGGCAACCCAGGAGAGGTTTTGAGGGAGAACGATTCCAAGTTTTGTGCTGGAATGTGTACACAGGGCAGTGGAGAACAAGCAGCGCTGCAGCATTTCCTGCCGACCAAGCGGCCACAAGCAAAATAGCACTATCAAAACCAGGAGTTTCTTCTGCAGCGGCAGGCCCTCACCCGATGTAAGCAGAGGTTATCCCACTGAAATTAACTGAAGCTGATTTACCTCATCTGACCCTCCGGTAAAAAGTCATCTCTCTTCTGCTAGGCTTTAAGTTTAAGTTTAAAACTAGAAATGCAGCTTCCTTAAGCCCAGTAGAATCAACAGAGCTGTGGATGTAAAGATGAAGGCAATTTGGATTCCCTCAGGGCCTGGGCATTATTAGTAACTGTTAACACATCCCGATAACAGCTCTTAAATCTACAAACACCCAACACTCAACCCCATGAGCCCAATCACGTGAGCAAAGTTATGCGCATGTCTCTGTTTTCAGGATCAGGTCCAAAAGCAAACACTTCGTAACAAAGATGGAAGGAAACTCAGGGACAGATCCCTATGTGGAATAAAAATTCAGGACTTTGAAACAGTGCCAGCATAAGCCAGTGAAGGAGCTAAGAATTTCAAAAACTTTTTACAGAACTCAAAAAAGCCAAGTTTGACGGGATTAAGAAAACTCAATTCCAATAAAAGGATTAAAAAGGTCAATAAAACAAGCATTCCCTGTGGGTTTGTACCACAAATGCCCCACCGCTGCACTGAGGACCTTGAAAGTAAAAGCAAGCCTAAAGAAAGAGGTAACTGATGTACTTTTCCCTGATGGAAGAAATAGAAAACAAAACAAAACAAGGAACAGCTGATCTTAATAAAAAAACAAAACCAAACTGATCTTTAAAAAAAAAAAAAGCAATAAAACCCCAACACACAATTCTGTCACTTTGAAATTCTGCATATAAATAGGTGGTGCCTTTCACTCCTTAAAAGAGGATTCTCTTTAAACCTAACATCATATTTCAAAGCAATGATCCTGCAAGTCATGCAAAGGCACAATATACTGAATTAAATCTAGTTCTCTGTCTCAGAACTCAGTGAAGATTTGATTTCTTGGACAGAACTTTCATAGACACTATGGGAATGGGCTATGATTTCTCTCCTTCCTTGCAAATAAAGAATGACACTTTTTATTCCCTGTAGCTTTTGGTCTGATTTGTTTACCATGTAAAGAGAGCAGCTGCAGATGCTAAATAACTGAATGGAAAATGCTTTCTTCTCCAAAGTTCTGCATGAGTTGTTGCACAGAAGTCAGAAACCTTTTTATGGACTCTGTAAGAGCACAATTTTAATGGGACAGATCCCACAAAAAAAATCCACATTTTAATGCTTGGACATTTAGTACATCTCCTGGTTTGAAGAGAAAATCTAGAAAATTTGACATATACACCAAACAGCTTCAGTGAGCCCCTCTGCAGTACTCACTGGGGGTCTTCCATTGGCCTCCACTCCACATCATGGTAGAGGTTCTGCACGTTCTTCAGCCACTCTCTAAGGACTGCTGTGGTGTTATCAACATTGTGGTCAGTGGCCGCCCTGGAAAAATGAGAGCACAAAGAGCCCTGTTAGCACAAGATTTAAGTCCTTTGCCTTCTCCCAGCTGGAAAATGAGTCAGGGGCAGAACCTATTTCTTACAGGCACATCCAGCTCCTGGCAGAACTCAGGGCAGCTCCACAGATGTACAAGTCCTTGCTAAGGCACACAGCAGAGCCCCACTTCCCCACAAAGACAGAGCACCCCCTTAACGCAGGCATGCTTGCACACTGCTCCCCTTTCGCTGATCTCCTGCCTCACAGGAATCACAGCAGCTTAGTCATCAAGCGAATACAGGAGCGAACTCTCTGTTCTTATTGCCCACGTGCTGAATTCTCCTTGCTCACAGTCACAATCACATCCCTTCAAATCTGTTCAGTTCATCCACTGGAAAAGACACAACAGGCCATCACAACATGAATGGCCCAAGGTAAGCTAACCATAAAGGTCCTGTCTCTAGACGCCCCAGGATTTTGCTCTGCTTGCTGTATCGTCCTGCAAGGCCACCGTTCAAGCTGCACAGCCCGGCTGCGAGCACACGTACACCGCTGCCTCACCCTATGGCCCAGGAATTGCTTGTGTCAGGATCAGGGGCTCTGCTAAGAAACTGAGAGGAGTCCCCACTAACATGCTGGTAGCAGAGGGAAGGAACGGCTCACTTGCTGCTCTACAGCATAGATAATTATAGCCAAGGCCTAGAAAGCCACTTGCCTTCAATTTGCAATGTGCAATTAGCACAGCCCCTCAAAGCTGCCCTCTGTATAGCCAAGCTGAGCATGGAGGTGGCAGGGGAAGGCAGGGGTGCTCAACATACACGAGGATCAGCATCATCTCCTTCCCCCTACCCTGCTATAGCCAGCAAGCAGCAAGACTGCAGCTCAGAGAGAGGCAGCTTGCTTTCTTACTGTTTCCTGACACAGAGGTTACAAGTTTGTGAAAACACACGGAGGAGCTTTGCGCAGATGCTATGTTCTGTTAAAACACTGAAATAGCACTCTGTCTCAAACAATGGTGCTTCCTCTATGGCCTCCGCCATCCTCCCTGAAAGCAGCACCTGAATAATGTTTTTTCCTCAGGGTTGAGTAGGGTAGCTGCACAAACTGGAATAGGATGCAGAGATTCATGTCTCTGACAGTAATCATGTGGAAATGCTCCCAAAGGAGCCACAAGCTCATCTCTGCCTGGGATCCTCAAGCCTTTGGCTTACAGGGCGAGTGAGCCAAGTCACATCCCAGCTGCTGCTTTCCAGCATGCGTTTCCCTGGGACCAGGACTTAGCACATCCAACCCCTGCCGCTCACATGGTCATGGCAGATCCCACAGCAAATTCCCTTAAGTCAAAGCACTGCTCATTCTTCCCGGCCAGAAGGCAGGGAAGCACAGCGCCGTGGTGGGACATGGCCTGTGCAGCCACAGCTCCGCAAGCGCCACTGAGAATTTACAATCCCTTTATATTCCTCTGGGAGTATACATGCTCCCAAAAGGTCCCATGGAGAGATAGCAAAGGTGGTGTGAAACACATCCCTAAGGGGAGGGCACTGGAAGGCTGTACTAAGCCCCCACCAACTGCTATAAATTGCCTATTTTTTCCTCCAGCTCCTGAGACCCAAAGGCACTTCCCACAGCATCCTCCACCCTACCTGAAGTCAGGGATACCTGTAGTTAACGGGAGGGCACACAGAAGGGAGAAAGGGGGCACATCCCAAACCCTAGAGCTACTCCAAGCCATTACAGGAAAATACCTCCACCCCAAGTCATCATATGATCCTCCAGATGAGAATCAGGACATGAACCCTTTCTAGTTCATGCAACCAGAAGATATCAATCCCATAGGGTTTAGCCTGGTTTAAATTAAAAAAGAATCAAGAATTCATATTTGAAGTTTATTTATAATCAGAACACCACAATCACTTAAGGACAGAAAGCTTATTTGTTGAATATTTATTCCTGTCTATTAAAACAATAAATAATTGAAGTTCAGCAAGTGAATGAAGGCTGGTTTCTTTGCTATTAACTGCTCTCCTATGACAGCAAGGCTGGGTTTAGTCATAACTTCAGGGTTTGCTTTTGACCAAGACCCTGGGTCAGACTGCACTGCAAATCTAGTTTGCAAGGATGTTTAACTGGACTAAAACAGTCATATGCTGACTTGGTAGAACAGACTAAGTCAAACTTGCTCCATGTATTTTACGGATTGCAGCTCATCCACTCAAGCCCCCATTTTAGCACTCTTGCTTGGGCCTCCCACAGCCACTGCACATTTCACTAATCTTGTTCTGCTTTCCTCCCACACTCCAGCTGCACAGTCAGTGAACAACAGCTCCAAAATTCCTAAAATACCAGAGAACTGTGAATATGTTTTGTTCATGGTCATCACTGGAGCTGCAGTGGCACCAAGAAGCTCCTGCCATACAGTGAGACCACACTGCAATTAGGCATCACACAAACCAAGCGAAGATGATGGTGGCCGTCCTGAAGAACGTTGGAGTCCATCTTACACCATACTCTTTGCCAGGTCCAGGCTAGTCTTAAGGATCCTGCAAACCCTTAAAGTAAGTACACAAATTCCACAGAGTCAGGTCCACATGCCCATTTCCCTCAGCAAGCCTCATCCCAGTCCTTCTAACCTTGCTTTAAGATCAGTGGGGAGATGTGGAGGGGTCTGCTATAGTCTGGAGAGAGAAAGGGGAAGCTTCAGGTGTGTGCACGTCAAGTTAGTCTTGGTGTTATGCTGGCTGCTCCCCTGTCTCATCCAGGAGATTTTTCTATATTCAGCTTTGTCCACACGCAAGTCCAAAATGTCTTAGTGGGGGAGCTGTTTGCAGGGATGTGCAATGGAAACCCAAAGTTCACAAATGAAACGATTTCTGTGACAAAAAAAAGTAAAACTGTAGAGTCATTCAACCTCAGAGAAAATTAACATGATAGAAGGCTGTTTCCTCAATTGCTCAGAGTTGCTTCATGAAGCCCCAAACTTTGACTAGCAGAAGAAACCTTAAAGTTGAAAGACAGTGGTTGACAGAGTTACTGCAGCTCTGCCCTCAAAAGCTAGCTGCCCTCAACAGCTGGCCCTTCTTTGCTTCCCCAGGCAAGAGGAGGGGGCTGAAGGATGCTCTTCCTGTCATGTCTTTGTCTCCAGTTCCTGTAAGGTCAGACCACATAAGTTTTACTGCCTGGACACACCACCATCCTGAGAGAAGGGCACAGCACACCAAAGACTGCTACTACCTGATCTTGCCCGGCGCTAAGCACTGCCTAGGGAAAGTTTCCAAACAGTCAACCAGACCCCCCACACCTGGGGTTCTCCATCCTGCTCCTGGTAGGGCAGCATGCCCTTGACAAAATTCACCCCTGAAGACCCCAACAGCTAACAACCTCCAGACAGAATTAAGACACATGAATGGGAGCCTGGAGGAATCTCTAGATCTACCCACAAGGAAACTGCTAGAAGACAAATGGCATTTTACTGCCAAGGCTGTAACGGTGTTGTTATGTAGAAGGTAAATTCACAACTCAGTAGACCTTTACAAAGACATTGATGAGACAAAGCTCTGGCACAAGTAAAGGACTGAAGTCTCCAGGACTATCCACCCAGCAGCATTTCTAAGCCCAAAAGTTCTCAAAGGCAATGAAGTTTGTCACGCCCTAGATGAAATATGCCCTATGACTAGCAATTTGGCAAACCTTTGTTTTTCCAGCTTTGAGCCTCAAAAAAAACCAACAAAAAAAAACCCTAACAACCCAAGCCATTCCCAAAAGCAAGTATTGCTATTAGTTTCAGAACATTTAAGATCAAACAAAATCAGCACTTACTCCTATTGTAATGATTGAACCAGTCCACCTATCCCCCCTGAAAAAATAACAGCTATGGTGTTTGCAATACCACTGTGTGGAAAAACAGGCACATACTTTTTTTTGTTCCTGGTTTGTTTTTTTTAATTTCAACCCCTGCACAAGAAAAACAGGCGAATAAAAATATGACCAGGACTTCCCACTGGCAGTGAGAGCTCTTCAAGCCATAAGAGGCACATCACGATATTCTCCATTATAAGCACTTCTTCTGTAATAGAAAGTTTGTAGGACTTCAAGAAGCAGAGTAAAACTTCAGTGTTCTAACTCAGATGGATGGACCAGTTGGACCCTGTTCATTCTTAATCCATTTTCAAGATGCTAAGGTCATCTCTGCTGCAGATCTCACCACCACCACTGGTGGTCTGTTGCCCATGGTGCATGTCTCCCCAGTTCTGGAAAACTGACTGACCTTTCCTTGGGTGATGACAGTCAGGAAGGGTTAAGACACATGGACAGAGCAGCCAACACTTGTGCTGTGCCTGGTACAATGAGACAAGGCCATGGGATGAGCATGGGTAAGAAAGCATCACATTGAAGACACTGTGCTGGCTGCGTCCTGTGCTGACTCCTCTTGGAAAAAGCTTACAGCAGGTGAGGTAAAGTAGTACCTCTAATACCTGCAGAAAAGCAATTTTGGTCTGGGCAGACTCCTTCTACAACAGTGCTAGCAGAGAGGGGCAGCACAGGCCAACAGGTCTTCTCTGCATGTCCTGCCAGTAAGTTTGATGGTGAGAGCACGCCACATAAGAGATGTTATCACCCCTCCCCATTTGCCCATCCTGGAAAAGTGTTTTTACCACATCCGCTGATCCTTACTGGTCCATGGTATGCACTTGACAGGAGGAGAGTGGATCACCTTAACCCAGCTCCACTTAGCTCACCAAGAACACAGCTTAGCAGTCCACACAGCCCTTAGACTAAGGCAGAGCCTTGATTTTTTTGGTATATTTTTGAAAGCAGGCTGATGAGCACAGTACTATTATTTGAGTCCATCAGCCTGGCATCAGGTTCCAATCAAGTTTTTTTTGAGTGGATCAGTCTGAAATGGTGAATGGAGTTAAATCCAGTTGGCGGCCGGTCACGAGCGGTGTTCCCCAGGGCTCAGTATTGGGGCCGGTCTTGTTCAATATCTTTATCAATGATCTGGATGAGGGCATCGAGTGCACCCTCAGTAAGTTTGCAGACAACACCAAGTTGGGAGGGAGTGTTGATCTGCTCGAGGGTAGGAAGGCTCTGCAGAGGGACCTGGACAGGCTGGATCGATGGGCCCAGGCCAACTGTATGAGATTCAACAAGGCCAAGTGCCAGGTCCTGCACTT